TGACTCCGTTTACACCTTAAATTCAGCCTCAAAAATAGGCTGAAATCAAGATTTCTTTTTTAGTGTGATGAATTTCACGGGAATATTCCCTCAGTATCATACGAATATCACGCGAATGTCACAGGAATATGAAGCGGACATTATGATATTGCCTGAATGTCACAGGAATATTCCCACTTGATATAACCGTGACATTCAACCAATATTCCGTGATACTATATATATAATATAGCTATAAATGAGTCCAGTTCCTACCAATTCATTTCCATAACAACATTTCATAGCTCAGTTTTAGGACTGAGTCCAAAACTTCATATACCTTTGAGTATTATAACTACAGAGATAATTCAGTTATAGTTGACTACACTGAGTGCAAAAAGTTTTATATATATATATATGGAAACGAATTGCAGTGTGCTATAACTATATACACTCAGTCATAGATTATTAAATCTCATTTTTTTTCTATGTTTATGAAGTACTTGTACATGAACCTGCACAAGCGAATATGTACATTTTCTTGTACAAGATCTTGTACATAAGGGATTTTCAGTAAGGGGTGCTCATTCCAGAATAAAGATTGATGCAATACGCATCCCCATTCGATTAGCATTGAAGCGTATATATGTGCGTTTGCTTTTTGCGTCAAGCTAGATCGCATTCTAAAACAGATCTTATATACAACCACCAGATCGAGAATGCGAGTATAGTACGCGTTACTAAACTATTCAGATAGGCGTCGCCACGTGGTGATAGTAGTCGCGCCTACTTATTTTGACAGGTGACAAACATTTTCGTCAGGTCGATTGGTCTTTAATAATTGGGACTCTCACGTCCGATTATTATGTGCCAGGAAGCACTTATTCCTATATAAGATGACTATGCTGATGACGTACCTGCCAGTGTTTACAGCTATCTCATTTGATATCTATATGGTGAGAGCATCAGCTCTCATGAGTATTCATGAAATTGATAACATCGAAACAATAAATTTCTACAATGATATTCTATGGTCTTGCGATCTGTCAGGTTATTGGAAATTTTCAAAAAGACTAATGAAATGAATAATCAAATATTGTCCGTTCTGGTGGTTATCATATATTTATAATGTAAAAGTAAATAATAATTCAGATCCGAATTCTCCAAGAGTCAAAGCGAATCCATATGGCCCCAGAGCATCCACCATTTGGCAATATGGTTTAGGGCGGCCGCCTTCATCTCGAGATCCATGGAAGCTTTCCTCGAGATTGTGGTGGAATGTTGACTTAAAATTATTTTTTTAATTTTATGTGTTAGTATAATGTGAAGAACTTAATTGATTCATTCTAAATTATTAAAAAAATTAACCTTCCAGTGAAAGCTTCCTTGAAGATTCTGGGGCAGCTCCTCATGAGGTGAACATTTAAAGCTTTTAGGAATAATGCGTATAGGAGTGCTGTATGAAATGTTTATCCATAATTATTAGTTGCAAAATACAATGATAAATTGAAAAATTTTATTTAAATCTATTTTTTTAACTTGTAGATTAATAAGTAGAGCAGCTTTTGAATTGCTTTAATACCACGTCTAAAATGATCTGTCCTCCGGATGTAAAAAAAGTCGATTAAAAAAGTAACGGCTGCTAAAGATAAAAAGAAATCTGCATTTTAAAATCACGTGTGCATTCGATTAAATGTGCGCAGCTTCCCTCCTATTACAAAGACATTTTTTGCAGCTTTTTTTTATCAAGTTTAGTTTAGAATATATATATATATATATATATAGAAGAACATAGAAATAAAAGTTCCCTTTGAAAGACGGCGATAACCCTTCATAAAAGGGTTCTGAAGCAACCTAAAAAAAGTGGCTAGCTCTTTTTATAATATATATACGATTGTTTGTGCGCGTATGCCTAATGTATATATATATATATATATATATTATTTGTAAATTATTATTAATAATATAATTAAATAATAATTAGTATAATTAAAAAATATATATATCCATACCTTTAACAAAGATTTGTTTTCTTATAAATACATAAGACTTATTCGCATTCTATCTGGTTATTGTTTTAGACTGTATTTAATTTACTCGCCTCCCCCAAAGATATTAATAACTTAATTTAAAAAACATATAACCTGTAAACTAATGTGTGTTCTCATATCCACCGTGAAATTGAATGAATTTCTGTTAAAATCATTATACTATATATACTACTATTCATGGTGCGCGGAAATGAGTCCAGAGATTGGAAAAAAATAACGACAAAAACTGACGATGTCATTTTTTTATCACCGCGCCTGCTACATAGTATAATAGTGTATATTCAGAAAAAGAGCAAATTTAAAATTGCAAACAGTGTCAATATTGTAAATCATTCATCATTCTTTTATTAAAAAGACGCATACATATACAATAGAAAAGTTATTTATTGATATTGAAACAAACTTAAAGTAATTATATTAATTTAATTTTCAATTACAAATTTTAAAAAAAGGTTAACTTCTGAATTGGTACGTTCTTGTTCTTTTTTAAAAATAGGCACGATATATTACACTAATCCGGATTAGTGTAATGTAATACCTATACTGAGTGCTATATACACCGTTGTGAGAAGAGAAACATTGTCATGTGAAAGTAAGAAACTTTTCTCATCGATGAGTGAGTAAATCAAGGTTGCCAACCTAGAAGACGTGTTGGTAAGGTAGGTATTGAATTTTTTCTTAAGAAACAATAAGAAACTATTCAATACCTACCTTACCAACACGTCTTCTAGGTTGGCAACCTTGATTTCACTCACTCAGAAAAGTTTCTCACTTTCGCATGAGAATGTTTCTCTTCTCACTGCGGTGTATAGTCACTCATTGTAAGAAAATTTTTTTGCCTAAAGAAAAAGGGAGGGGGTTCAGGCCAACGCAGAATAGCTTCGCGAAGGGCATTCGCAAACGTTGTTCATGAGATAGAAAAGGACACAACTATATATCTGTCCTTTTCTAAACGCATACATCTCGTTCGCGAACGAGTTTCGCGAAGCTATTGTGCATTGGCCTTTCGTCTTTTATGAAGAATTTTGCGACAAAACAAACGTAAGAAAACTAAATCTTTTTAGGAATTTGAAACTATATTTTTATTTTTAATTTTATTGTTTGTCGTTATAATTAAAAAATAACACCCTTAAAATATTGGAAAATAGAATATTTTAAGTATATATATATATATATAAATGTAAAAGATAATATTTTAAACCCGTGAAACATTATTTCAAATATGTAGAAGAATAATATATATAAAGAAGCTTATATTGTTCAACAATGGAATAAAAATGTAAAACTTAATTGGTGGGAAAACACACTGATTGTAAAATTCGTCGTCATTACGAACCATAATTTATGTAATAATCTTTCGAACGGTATATATGTATTAAAATATATATATGACTCGATGAGAAATCGACGACATCGCAGAATTATCTCCTCTAAATCTTTACTGATGCAGTGTGGATGTTTATCTTGCAATTTTTCCAAATTTTTACAAAACAACGATGGTATAGCGTGAATGATGACGGTAGTTCATCCATCAAAACGAAAGGTGGCTAGAGTGATTATTATTATTATGTTTAAAAAAAACCATAAAGTTTGTAATTTATATACTACCTACATCCCTAAAGAGAACACGACAATGATTAAAATTAAAAAAAATTGTCAGTGAAAAATAATTTAAATTTTAAGTTTTCCAGAATTTTGAGTTCTATTAAAAAAATTATTGACTATAAAGGTACTCTCTCACCTGCCGGCATGCATGCATGCATGCAAGAGTTGTCATAGCAACGTGGAGGAGTAAGTGAGAGAAAAAAATCAAATTTTGAATTTACCTATCTCTATTATACTCCTGTACGTTGCCATCACAACTCCTACATGCATGCATGCAGGCAGAAGGTGAGAGAGTACTTTAAGTATTAGCTTCTAAAAATGTGTCACAACATATTATATAAATACTTTCAAATAAATACAAAAAGTGTTAACTATTAATATATGTGCAGTTTTTAGTATTAAATTTTTAAGAATACGGCACTGAAAGCATGTCGCTCCACCGCTCACTATACGGCGGTGAATATAGTTATACCAATGACGGGCATCAAACGCAACTGCCCTTGCGCTACTACAACTCTTCTCATTGGTAGAAAAAGGCTCTCTTATTTAAAATACTTTATTATAAAAAATAGTTAATCAAACAAACAATTTATTGTTTTTATGTTTAATTATAATGTTTTTAATCAAAATTAATTTTTATGCATTATTTTCAAAATAATTTTTAAGTTTAAATAATTACAAAAGTCTTACCAAAGCAATTATGAGTTTATTATTTATTTATTAATATTACTATTATTATTTATAAATTAAATATAATCTTATTTCCCGAATACCGCGTGATCTAATTCCTATATACGTACTTATGAAGATAATTCAATTTTGTATCGTTTCGAAATAAACGCATTTAATAAAGTTATAATACTGTAAAATGAAAGAACTTACTTTCAATCAGCGACACCTGCACAATACAATCGACCTTTTAATGTTATAAATAATGTAATATACAATATTATATTATAAGCTAATAAAAGAAAGCAAAGCGTATAATTGAAAACTGGGCTCAGGTAAAACAGAGCCTTGTAACTCCAATGAAACCGAGATATTAGATATATATGATAATAATATATTTATATAAATGAACTTTATCTCTAATTTCATAAATTTTTGAAGTAATTTATCCCCTGAACAATTTTATTTATTTAATTAATCGAAATTCATTGACTATTATCAATAAATATTTACTTATATACCTGTTACCTAATAAGTTGTATTTTAATCAAAATGAATTTTAACTAATAATTTCTGTATTTTAAACAATTATCATTTAAATTACTCAAATAATACCTAATTATTTGAAACAAATGAATATTTATTTGATAATATAGTAATTTATAAAAACGTATAATATAATCTATGAATTAAGGTATTATACTTGCAGCAGTCGTCACTTCCAAAAATAAAGTTTAATAGTAAACTTAAAAATTATAACATATCTTTAGCCACTATACATATATATATACACGTGCTCATGCTGGTGTTAATAGTATACTTCCCCTAATCTCACAATGCATTAACCTCAAAGTTAATAATTTTTGAACTCTTTATATCTCTTAAACGAAACGCGGTCAATGTTGTTGATTCTCTTTATTTTAATTTCTATAAATATTTATTTATAACATACTAGTTTTTAAAAACAATCTATAGAAAATTTTAAAAGTCATTGAGAGAAATGTATATATTATTTATATGCCCACTACATAGGCTAACAGTGTTAAACTAACAAACTTTCAACTTAAATATCTCGTTTCAAAAACGGTCAATTGTTTTAAAACAATTGTATATCCTAATTTGTAAACTACATTGTTTACCAAATTATTACTATATGTAGGCATCATGTATTTTACTAATTATAACAATGTTTATATTTTAGTCCATTTACTTCGTTATTGTCTGTACTTGTATTTATTTCAAAATTTTATTCTAATTTGGTCTTAACTATATATATTCGTTGTAATATGACAAGATATATTCTTGTTCATAATACCGCTTGACAATGTTATACTATATATATATGTAAATTTTATATACTTTAGGACAGAACTTTCTTAATAATCTTAGTATCGCTTGATTATCTTTTATATAAGATTTATAATAATCTATTGTTGGCTTCATTTAAAAATTGTTGTTGCGCAGCATTAAGTAATGTCCTATCACGTCACCATATATAGCCAATAAATCTTCCTCGTCTGTTTTCCTTTTTTGAAAATGAATCTGGAGACGTCCTTTTCAAAACAGAACCTCGTGGAGTGTGATATTGTTCCGTGTTGAAGGGGATAATCCTGCTCAGTTAAATATATATGTGAATCTGATTAGCCGCCTTCATTCGTTGTTATAAGTCATAAAAGTTAGTTCAATATAAACTATGTATAGTTATTTTTCCAAATTCGAAAATTGCTCATCACCTTGCATCTGCTAGAACAAAAACAACTTCTATAATTCAGAAAATTATTGCTGAAATCAAAAAAGATATTTAAAAATTTTTTAAACAACAATTTCCCACTTTTGCAAGTGCTAAAACAATTAGTAGTTATAGTTCATACGTTTGAATTGATAAAAAAGTCTATATTTCAATATTTAAAGAACTTTAAAACATTCAAAATTGTAGAATGGCTATTATGTAACATTATTTTTTTGATAGAAGCAAGAAATAAAAAAACCATAAATTTTTAACAAAATAATTGAAAACATAAAATAATATGATTGTAGTCGATCTTTAATGATTGTGTGGGGTTCCTACGACGAAATACCATTGTCAAATATATATATATTCCTATATATATACACTGTAAAAATTTTTGGAAATTTTTCTTATGAAATAGTTCGAAATAGTTCGAAAAACGTTAAGAAAACGATTTTTCTACACAAAGTTCGCGAAAGTATACCTACTAAAAAGTATACTTTTTAGCGACGTTCTAATAGTCCTTCATATATGCTTTTACAGACTTGATCACGGAGAGAAATAGATGATACGGGGTATCAGGTACTATAGCTATATATCTAGATTCTATCATTAAAGATAACATCTTTTAACCATCAAAATCTTACAATCCATTTCTCTCAGTGGCAGCTTTGTTCTGTCATTTGTCAACTATACATTTTCCTTAGATCAACAGAGGAAGTAACGTTCATTCTGGTCTCACAGATGATTTTGACAGGTCGAGTCCCTGGTAGCTGAGTCATCACAGTAAGTATATAGTTTCAAGCTGAAATCGCGAATACTCTCATAACTAATACGATAATCGTAAATTTCGTCAAGTTATATAAATTCTTAAATACTTTCTTATTACCATCCGGTTTACTACCACATGAATTACATTTAGGGAATAATTATGTCAGTATGCTCATAATAAATCTTATCATTAATGCTATACTTACTGCATTTAATCTTTACAGACGCAGAATATATTATGAAGCATTTCGTGGCAAGTCCAAGAGCACGGTATGAAGTTCCTACTTTGAAATATTACGTAGGAACTCTATACCTCGCTGCTGGATCTATACCTTAAACAGTTGTACTATTCCCGTGTTTCTTCTCATATGTATAAGCCCCCGGTGAAGAAGCATCCAGAAACATATATGTCAATAAGTGTAAACGTGCTTTACATTTTAACATTTTAGCTTATTTTCTCCTGCTGCCTACATCAATTTTAGAGTTATCAATAATAATTTTTAGAAGAATTTTCTTAAGAAATGGAAATTTCAAAAACAAAAATGGATCTTTATATTTTAATATTTATTTAAAAAATGTCCCTTCAAGAACAATTTTCCCTTTACTTCATATGATGCCGGGCGTGGTGAGCTCTTAGGAATGGCGCTCGCTCAATCGAGGGTGGTCTTTTCTACGTATACACAAATACTTCGTATCCTATGCCTATGCATCCCCTAACATACCGCCCATATAGTCAAACCCATACGCAACACCCTCTTCTCGTATCTTAAGTCCTCCCCTACTTATACATACGCATATATATATATTATACATATGTTGTGCTTATATATGTATATGTACACAGAAAAAACCTGGTCTGGAAAAAAAATGAACTGAAATTCCAGGTATGAATCTGGAAAAAAATGAGTAGCGTACGCTACTCATTTTGTAGTGGACCACAAATGATCCAGGTTAGTGGCGCCACTGTCTATGTCGTTTAGCATTAACTCATTTTGAGTTGCAACAAAAATGAGACTATAACTTTTCTCTAGAACTCAGGAAAGAAGTATATGCATATATCTATAGGCAAGAGGAGAGATATTAAATTATTTTTAACAAAATTTAAAAAGTTGTGTGTGTGATAAAAATTCTTATAATTTCCCGTGTAGAAATTTATCGTGGCCTTCCTAGAAATAGACTAATGCTAGACAGTATTTGTCGTGGAAATTTATTCTGAAAAAACCTGTCCTGAAAAAATCAAATTTATAAATCTAGTGTTCCATATTTTTGCATTTTTGAACAGTGTCAGTGTGCAGGTCCACGATAAATTTCTACACGGGTTGTTGAATACGTAATTTAAAAAAAACCATTATACTTTATTTTTATTATTAATTATTATTATTAAGTTATTTAAAATTTTTATACTAACTTAATATTGCATGAAAAAAATCATTTGGAGGTATAAGGGATCGAACCTTCAGGTTCAACGCATACAAAATAAGAATACGTTAAACAAACCTACTAAAATCGACAAGTTGATGCAAAAAACAACATAAGTAGATATTCTTTTCTTTTTTAAGAATTCATAATTGACACATTTTTTTAATGTTTAAATATAGGCCAGTCAATAAAGACAAAAAATGCCATTAAATGTAAACAGCCTGTTCTAAACGGATTTTGGTAATTTTGGTGGGAAATATGAAGGACCCTTAGTTTGCTCTCGATGTCCGGTTGGTAAAAGATGCGGCGGTTTTTTGGTGCTCATTGCTTTCATCTACATTTTAGAAGAAAAAGTGGTGATTAAAAAAGGAGGTATAAATGGTGGGTCTAAAGTTAAACATTAAATATTTGTTTAAAAGTCATTGAATTTAAACGATTAAAAATGGTGCTTTTTTAATTGTTTAATAAGTTTGTTAATAATAATCCAATCTGATTGAAACTTGACGAAAATGTGCCCCTCGCGATACCAAACAAATTGAAAAAACTTCGAACCTGAATGGATGAATAATTTTTAAATTATTCAATTTGTTATTTAAAAACCATTTTACTTTTTAAGAGTGATATTCTATCATATACGTTAATCGAATTTTATTATTTAATTGCATAAAAATCGATTATTAACAAAAAAAGGTACGATTTTTAGATATAAACAATTGCAATTACTCGGCTAGTTTTTACTCTCTAAATCTAAATTAGTGAAAAGGTTTACTAATTTCAATTAGTCAGTCACTTTTTGCTTCTGAATTAGTTGAATTTTACTAATTGTTAGTAAAATTTTACTAATTCAGAAGCAAAAAGTGAGTCACTAATTCAAATTAGTAAACATTTTTACTAATTCATTTTACTTTAAAAAAAATAATAATTTTTTTTTTCAAAAAATTCCTAAAGCTATATTTGAAATTTACACAGTACTTAAAGTTTAATTTGTGTACTAAAATAAAAAATTGTAAAGAATTTTTATCCTATATTTGTCCATGCTCCCAACGACGGAGCGGGGAAACAGACGCCCGTCACAAAATTGGATTCGCCCGTTAAAATTTACAAAATTTGTTGTAAGTTGGTTAATTATTAACCGATTTGAATATTTCATTTTCGATTTTATGTTATTTTTTCTTCTCTTTTCAAAAATGGATTTAGATTTTTAATAAAAAAAAGTTTTAACTAATATTTAAACAATTTTTTTGATAAAGGTAATAAAAAAATTCTGATTATAGTTGAAGAAAATTAAAAATTTAATATTGTAGTTCGAAAATTAATTAGATGTTAATAGGATTCCATGTTATTATTCAGGCAATCGCTCCCCTCAATATCTGACGTCATTCCCCTAAAGTCGCCGACTACCTGAGCTATTGTTAATATGTATCTGAATTTTCCTGAATGCAAGTAAGTATCCTCTTCTTTTTAGTTTCAGTTTGTTTACTTAAAACTTATGGAAAGTCAAATTTTGAGACCTCCATATTGGAGGAATTTATTTTTATTTTTTACAATAGAAATTTCCCATAAATTTTAATTTTAATTTCATTTTTGAAAATTTAATTTTTCTAAATATTACTTTCTTTTTAAAACATGATATGATTTTTTTCTTGAAAAGTTCATTGCAATGGATATATGAAAAAAACCTTAAAATTGAAAGAAAATCAATTCTCTCAAGAAATAGTAGCTTGAAAACATTTTTTAAATAACCTTATATGACATAATAATAATAGCAATTTATTTAACGAAAAATAAACGTATTTTTGATATGTAAGGAGCATAAAGTAGAGCTTAACGTGTTTCAAAATGTTAATTACAATAATACTGGAATGCTAATCAGTTGCAGTTTGGTAAGCATAACTATGTTCCAGCTTACAAATTTATACGCATTTTCTTCCATCTTAACCCTTTAGACCCTTAATGTAAAATACTTATCTTCTTCAGGCAAGCCACTGATGGTTATGCTTTAGTCTATTAATATTCCTTGCTCTCCCCTTGAAAAGTAAACTCGTGAGAACGCCGTGAGACATTCTCACCTATTAGCATAAAGTTTATGTAAAGAACTTTCTCACGTTCAAGAAATCGATACAATAACCCTGCAAAAAGAAGAAGTTGATTAGTTTCTGTTATTGTATTACTATTTTTATTAATACTATCATAGAAAAGCAAACTATTAAGATATCCCAAGTGCGAAGTGATAAGAGTATCAACACGGTCTAATATTGGAACACTAATGTCAAACAAATGACTGATGTTCAAACCTTCACTAAAAGTTAAGTTACGAAAATCACACCAGAATAATTATATCACTCACAAAAACGTCATCTATATATTCATCAACATTTATCACAGTAATCTAATAAATTATTTTCTTATTGTCTTTAAAAGCTTGTGGTTAATCTAGATGTCATATGCCAGGCATGCCCGATATTTTTTCCATGTCATAAATTTTCGAAAGGAAATCATCCCAATATACAGTGTCAATACTCATACTGATTCTTATTCAAATTTGACTAATTTCTATATTGAATCCCAACCCAATAATAATGACACATTATATATATATATATATGTCAACTCTTGCAGAATAGTTTTTACACTTGAGATCTTTTACTAAGCAAATATGACTGTAAATTAGTTTAGTTTTAGCGAATTTTTAGCTCTGGTAGCTAATATTTACTGAACAAAACAAGACATGTTAGCTATGGAAGCTAATTATTATCTGTATTAGCTAACAATAATTGCTATCCATATAACAGACATTGCGGGGTTAACTAAGGTATAACTATAGTTTAGCTAATATATATATATATATATAGATAACTATTTTTTTCCGTGTATTAGCAAAGTATCAATCTTTTTTCTTCTATACCTAAAAGGAACTAACCTTCACATGATCTATAGCTCATCATTAACTCGTCCATAGGCTCAAAAGATTATATGATTGATTTAACTATAAATATGATGTTTGATTTCGGCAATGACGTGAAACTTTTGCTGTACCTATCTGAAAAAATTAAAATTTTATATTTCATTGAAATATAGTTTGCATGGTAGTTTACAAAAATTTGATTAATTAACATTTTTTAATTTGACTTCAGATTTGTAACCCTAAAAATAAATAAATTAATAAGTAAAGAATTTTAATCGAATCCGCTGAAATTTAAAAAAAAAGTTTCACATATTGTATCCATATAATTTTTGAATTTGATTTTTTCTACTTTCAAGAATAAGTCGACTTGAACAAGCTTTTAATATGAATATAAATAAAAGAAAATCTACAAAAAGATTATTAACGAAAAAAATAATTTTTAAATTTTTATAAAACTTTTTTACTCTTTTATTCATTCATTTATAAAATTCAGATAATTTTTATTATAATTTTTTTTACCAACATATAAGCAAGTGCGGAGACGGCAAAGTTTTTGTATAACATGCACTAATACAAATTTGGGGCGTGAAAGCAAAAAACCTTTGTAGTGCACTTAGTGGCTTGAAAATTGCAAAAACAGTTATAGAATCTATGAATACGTGACCAGAAATTGAATCGAAAACATGCAATCGTCAAGGTAAGCATTGTCAGTGTGTTTTATGTGGTTCATGATTAAAAATAAACCAAGTGGAAAATTCAATCCCGTATAAATGTTTGATTGTGGTGTAACGCAATGCGGAAATGGCATTGTCAAAATTGGACCATTAAAATAAACAGAAAAATGCAACCAATTTGGCTATTTATTTAATTTAATTTGTGAAAAATTATAATAAGACATATTTTATTTCACGTTGTGTTAAAAGTGCGTCACACTGTGAAAGCACAAATACAAGATTACGACGAAAGGTCAACAGTAGTGGACTCAGTCCAGTTCCTTTGCAGAGTCAAAGTGGCACGCACATTTAACAATAATTGCTTAAAAATGATTAAAATAAAATTCACTAAAACAAAGATATCTCTTAACCAAATATTTGGCATTATAGTGAAATGTAAGATATTTTTTCTTTTTTTTGAACAACAAAACCATTTTTTAGAGGTACACTGAAAAAAATTTGCTTCGCATTAATGACTATTAACCATAGCAACTTTAAATCTAGTCAGCGTAACCAAGCATCCTATAGTCAATTCAGTTATGCAGCTTGGTTAATATTACCAAAGTCGATTTAGTAGAATTTACCCCTTGTTTTCTAGTTATATTAAATAAGGTGTTTGGTTAATATCGCATGTATCTATAGTCAATTTTGCTAAAGTTTAATTAGTCAAAGTGATTCTAGCCAATGTAACTAAGATACCTGGTTATTCTGATAAGCTTCCCTAGTCATTCCGACTAATTGTCGAATTCAACTTTGACCAAGATTGCCTAGTGGGTCCCTCTCGTAACCAGGCAAATTAGTCAATTCCTGGTATACGGGGGTTAGGAATTTTTTTCAGTGTATAAATTTTAACGTTCAATTCAAAACATCAGTCCGTTTTTTCACTATACACGTCAGCTAGGTTTTTGAGATAATTGCAATTTTCAAATTTTATATATAGTATATCGAATCAAAATTTCTACCTGAGATTTATATTTTTAGTTGAATTCTGTAGGAAGACAATTTTTTTTGAAGTTGGTTGAGAATCTTATACGACAGCTTTGCCATCAATGGGATTGAAGGACTCATTTAGCGAGGAAACAATCCGTTGTCATTTCATTCTTCCTTCCGCATAGATCACCTCACTTTGACGGGCTTTGTGAAACTATCAGCCAAGTGCAGAGGATTTTGTGGTTTACATAACTTTTCACTGCAGAGTATGTTACCTAAAAAGAAAAAAATTATTCATTAATTTCTAAGTACAGGAAAACTTATTTTATTCAAAACAATCTATACAGTTGAATATGTCATTCGCTTAGCTATACTTATATGACTAAAAGAGGAATTTTTCCATAATTAGTATGTACTATGAAACAGTACAAGAAATAAACTGTAAATATAGAAAAAACCTCATTTGAAGTGCAACAAAAATGGGCCAGGTAGGTGGCGCTACGTTTCATGTCGTTTAGCATTGGCTCATATGTGCCACTAACGATTTTCTTATATATTGTATTCCTGAAGATACAGATTCACAGTGAAGTAATAATAGCAACTTTGTAACAGCAAATAATGAGAAAAGAAAAATATAAATAATTGAAAAGTCAATTATTATTTCTTTCTATATTTTTGTTGTAATTCTTAGTTAATAAAAAATTGAATTTTACTAAAACGAAACATTGTAATTTTTATGTTTTACAATAAAAAAAAATAAAGTTAAATTAAATATTTCTTTCTGTGTGTGTAGCGTTAAGGAGGCTCTATCGCTATATCGCTTGACGGAACTAGTCAAAACAAAGACCATATTACTTTGTGGCTTGACCTACTCGATACCGCATAAAACGTCTGGCAACACAGCATTTCGTATACAGATTTAGGTTTCTTAATTTAAATGTCAAAATCTAAATTAGTAACATTAGATTACCACCTTATACAATGTGCAATAAATGTTAGCTTTATTTGTAGTACAAAATAAACATTTTTATTGGTAGAATAAACAACCGTTCTTTCCACTAGAATTATTTGACTGATTTTCCACTCTTGAAATTAGAATTCTATTCTTATTCCTTATACATAATTTCTCAAGGACTCGTCAATGCCTTCCCTCGAACCCGAAGAAATTCTATTAGCAACAATCTAAACACTTCAAATGAGCTGAATGATTTACTTTAATTTCTAAAATTACCTGCAGAATTTTAATTTTGAATTTATGAATCATTCTTATAAAGTGAAATATTCTTCAAATTTACTGTTCTTTGAAATTAATAAAAAAAAATTTATTAAGAAGAATATAATAAGATAAGCACGCGAGTATTTTTCCTAGCATTATAGTAAAAAGAACTGTTCAGCATGTTAACGAAAATTTAACTTAGAGTTAACGATGCGACATGCTGAGCCACTAACCCATAGACTTTGATTCTAGGGGTAAAGTAAAAGAGAGACACAGACGAAAGAGAATTAGAAAGGGGGAATCTGGGAATGCCACCCTTTCGTATGTAAATTCATGGACACCTGGAGCAAAGGCCGCATGCAAATCAGTCCTGAGACCATCTGAACTGAACCTATACATGATAATTCTAGTGAAATTTTATGAGACCTACAAGTTTAAATGTTCACTATGTTCGCTATTTTCTTAATCGATTCGTCATCTTTCTCACAATTTTTTCTCTATAACTTTCGCTATTGATTTTTATGAAATAAAAAAAATTCCACCGTCAAAATTAATTAAAATATTGAATTTATAAAAGAATTTAAATCATAGTGCAGGGTCCCAAGTAAATATATTTTAATATTGAAAATGTGTATCAAGAAAAAATAGTTCACCTTAAATTGATCAAATATACAAGTTAAAAGGAATTGAATGACTTTCAATATTATATGCCATATAACCTTGCCATAATTTTACTGTGACAAAAAAATTCGTTGCAACAGAAAACTTCTATTGAGGTGAAAAGATAGTTTTGACAATAGTATAATTTGTTTTTATATAAATGAACCAAGTGGAATAAATCAGAATTTGGAAAATTAAATTCATAATTACTTGGAGAAATTTAGCATACCTCGAATTTGCTAGACTTTGTTTATTAATTAAAGATAAAAATTTTATATAATTTTACATGAAATTCAAAATTTTGTGTTTTTAAATCAAATTAACATACTTTCTTATGATGTAAATTCAAGGTTAAATATTATAATACATGTCATGTAATTTGAGCGCTAATCACGAAGTATCGCGTTCTTCTTGTACTCGCACACACCAATGTGTTAACTGTATTCATGAAACAGCTGTAACGTGAGTCATTAACATCAACCTCAAAATTACAGTCTTTGTCAAACGAGTTTCCAATATTTTATATATATATATATATATATATATATTACTTTCATTTTTATTTTATTTTATACATATTATTTTCCATTTATTTACAATTTTACTATATAACAATATATGTAATAACAATAATAGACGTTTCATGTGGTACGGAGTAGGTCGAGTCACAAGTAATACGGTTTTTGTTTTGACTAGTTCCGTCAAGCGATATCGCTATAGAACCTCCTTAACCTGTAGACTGCCGGAAAGCCTAAATTTAGGCTTTTTGATGGATTTTGTTAAACGCCGGCGGGCTAAAGGTTAACTACCCACACACACACAGAAACAAATATTAATATACTATTTGTAACAATATAGTAACTATATGTATAAATAAAAATAATTTGTAACTTTTATATAGGTAATATCTATCAATAATTCAATATCTATCAATTGACATTCATTAAATTATTTTTACACATCCTTATGATTTTTAAAACAAAAGAAAATGTCCCTTACTGTAGAATGCATCGCCAAATGTATTAAATTATAGCTCAATTCTTGTGAGACTTAAAATTTGCCTTAACTTTGCCTTTAAATTAACAAACAATTGTTTGTAAAATAAATAACCTAAAACTATAAATATTTTATTATCCGTTATTATCTGTAAATTAGCATTAATTTATGTTGATAACTGCAAGCAGGCGATCCATTTAGTACTTGTTATAAAAATTGCATGAAGCCGCCTGATATATGAACTGAATTTATCCAATACAAACTAACCTGCGAGTACGCATAGCCTTTCACACGCGCCCACTTTTGGTTGTGTGTGTGTGTGTAAACTTGTGTTGTGTATAAATTAGACCCGATTATAAGGTGGCTTTGAACCACCTTGGGCAAATTTCATTTCAGGAAAATTAAATATATTATATTACATAAATAAGATGTATGTTTTAGTAAAATATTATATTCCGTACACTGTAAATTTTTAGCTGGGATACAAAATTCAGTGAAGGATCCTATGCAGAATCTAATGTAACATCTTCCATAGGATACATCACATATGTGAATCTACATATATATATATATGAATCTATATAGTTTCCTATAGGGCTTGTGTGGTAAACCGGTTTCCGGTTATGGAATTTAAAAAAAAACCAGTAAACAGTTTTTCAGTAAAAACCGGTTTCTCGGTTTTTGATAAATATATATTGTTCATCTTTCATTTTACTTTTTTAATTTTCATATATTAATCTTACGGGAAAAAATTTTCAGAAAAGCACTAACTTCTTAAATTTTTTCTTGAAATTTATTAACATAAACTTACTTACTTAATAATTGTAAGTAAATTTGAAATCCTTAAAAATTTACAATATTCCAAGCGAAAATCTGTGAAGAATGGCTAATTCTTCTTTAAAAATTCATCATTATTGCGTATTAAGATCATCTTTATTCTAAAAATTTGTAAAAGAAAAGATATTTTACTATTCTTATTTAAAATTGATTGTTAAGTGTTGGAAGTCTCATGAAAATGAACCGGATAAGAAGAATTGATGTTGAAGTATTGTCTGCAAATTTATTTCTTGGCAGTCTGGTCTGGCTTGGTGAGCATTACATTTGTTGGGTCCGCAATGGGGTGTAGAGGGGTTTCACAAAACTGAACTCTGACGAACAGAGCCGAACTCCTTGCCAGTTCGGCTTATTAGATCCCCCTCTATACCTATCGAAAGTATGAAGTTCGATTGTCCAGGAATGTAATGGGGTAAAATTAATAAAAAAAAATTCGTAAAAAAAGTGATAACTTTAGTCGTCCAATAATTCAAATTCGTGACAATTTTCAGTCATTCTTACTAAAATTTTAAAATTAAAAAAAAAAATTGGAACTATACCAAATCAAGTAATAATATTTCAATAAAAATCAACGAAAATTCCTACTAATTTGTATTAGTGGACGACTTCTCACTGCCTGGTAGGTATCGGGACGTCTAAAAGACATTTTTTGTCCGCGGACATCGAGGATAAAATCTCGGAGACACCATAAAAACAACCAAATTACTTCTTTAAGACTACCAAAACACACGTTTTTATACATCTTTGGGATACTTCAAATATGATTCCTTCACTATTTCAAACACAGTAATTATTATATATATGTATATAATTATTAACCCTCTGCCTGCTCTGGGTTATCCCCACTCTAGCGCTATAGAATCCCATAGTCCCTACCAGGCGAACGAATTGTCGCTTTTTGTCGATAACGGTCAACTGGATATCAGGGTGAGGGTTAAAATATTAATTTTTACGTTAAGTATGAATTTTATTTTGATTTTTATAAACTTATACAAAAATGAAGAAAAAATTCTTAGGGTCTTGAGATCGAACCTGAATACGTTGACTTGGAACTCTGTACTTTAAGCGCATCATTTATTTTAAATTTGTTCATTAATACCACTGTAAATACCTATACAGAGTCATAGAGTATAAGCAAATCCTTAAGAACTACAACCATAATATTTTTAATTAACTTTAGAGACATGTCTGATTAAGCATAGTAACTCCAGCACTGACAATATTATTTATACATTTTTTTTCTTTTAAATTAATCTTAATTAAAAAAAAAATATTTTAGTTTTGAAATGTATCTAGACATTATTTTATGTCCTAGGATATAAAATTATAGTAACAGAATCATGCTTGATTTTCGATGAACTAAAAGGTCAAATAAATTTTCTATTATAGGGTTTGTCATTTTTCATCAGGGGTATTGAGATTAAATATATATTTAATGAGCATATATCTTGAATGCATATAAGTATGTATATTCATTACTATTAAACTTTTCTTTTTTATTCATCAAGTGTTCTTTTGTACTTGACATATATCGCACATTTTTTGACAAATTTTTGTTTGTATTTTCTT